GATATTAACACCTTAAAAAATAGCCTAACCCAAATAGCAAAAGAGGTCCAAAAAGCCAATGAGGAGAAAAATGCCCTAAAAAGAAAAATTGGCCAAATGGAAAAGGAAGTCCAAAAGACTACTGAAGAAAATACTTCCTTAAAAATTAGAATAGAACAATTGGAAGCTAGTGACTTTATGAGAAATCGAGACACTGTAAAGCAAATCCAAAAGAATGAAAAATTAGAAAACAATGTGAAATATCTCATTGGAAAAACAACTGACCTAGAAAATAGATCCAGGAGAGAGAATTTAAAAATTATTGGACTATCTGAAAGCCATGATCAAAAAAAGAGCCTAGACATCATCTTTCAAGAAATTCTCAAGGAAAACTGCCCTGATATAGTAGAACCAGAGGGCAAAATAGAAATTGAAAGAATCCACAGATCTCCTCCTGAAAGAGATCCCCAGAGGAAAACTCCTAGGAATAAAATAACCAAATTCCAGAGTTCCCAGGTCAAGGAGAAAATGTTACAAACTGCCAGAAGGAAACAATTCAAGTACTGTGGAAACACAATCAGGATAACACAAGATTTAGCAGCTTCTACATTAAAGGACCGCAGGGCATGGAATATAATATTCCGGAGGGCAAAGGAGATAGGATTACAACCAAGAATCACCTACCCAGCAAAACTGAGTATAATCCTTCAGGGGAAAAATGGTCATTAGGGTGAAATAGAGGACTTTTAAGTATTCCTGATGAAAAGACCAGAGCTGAATAGAAAATTTGACTTTCAAATAGACGACTCAAGTGGAACATGAAGAGGTAACCAGGAAAGAGAAATCATAAGAGACTTATTAAGATTGAACTGTTTACATTCCTGCATGGAAAGATGATATTTGTAACTCATGAGACCTTTGTCAGTATTAGGGTAGTTAGAGGAAAAAAATTATGTTATGTATATAGATAGATAAATAGATAGATAGATAGAAGGCACAGGGTGAGTTGAAGATTAAGGGGTCATATCTGGAGCATAAAATTAAGGGATGAGAGAGGATAATAATCGGAGAAGAAGAAAGGGAGAGGTAGAATGGGGTAAATTATCTCACAAAGAAAAAACAAAAGAAAAGTCTCTTACAGTGGAGGGGAAGCAAGGGAAGGTGAAAGGGAATGAGTAAATCTTATTCTTATAGGATTTGGCTAAAGGAGGGAATAACATACACATTCTATTGGGTATGGAAGTTTGTCTTACCCTACAAGAAAATAGGGGGAGAAGGGGACAAGAGAGCAGGGGGATGATAGAGAGGAGGGCAGATTGGAAAAGGGTGTAATCAGAAGTAAATACTTCTGAGGAGGAACAGGGTCAAAAGAATGAATAGAATAAATGGGAGGGCAGAATAGGATTAAGGGAAACAGAGTTAGTTTTTCACAACATGTCTACTATGGAAGTGTTTTGCATAACTGCACATGTACAACCTATATTGAGTTGCCTGCCTTTTCAATGAGGGTGGGTGGGGAGGGAGGAAGAGAGAAAATTTGAAACCTAAAGTTTTAAAAACATATGTTTAAAAAAAATGTTTTCACATGCTACTGGGAAATAAGAAATACAGGAAATGGGGTACAGAAGTCTATCCTGCCCTACAGGAAAATAGAAGGGGAAGGGGATAAGAGAAAGGGGGAGAGAAAGAAAAGAGGGGAACAGATATTCAGAATGCATGCCATCTTGGGGTGGGGGAGGGTGAGATGGGGTGAAAATTTGAACTCAAAAACTTGTGAAAATGAATGTTGAAAACTACAAATAAATAAATTTATATTTAAAAAAAATCCAGTACCATTTAAAATTTTTATTTGTTTTTTAAATAAGTTTTTATCGATATCTTTTGTTTCTACATTATCATAGTTATCTCAAGTACCTTTCCCTCTTCTTCCAGAGAGCCATCCTATATAATGAAATGTTTTTTTAGGGAGAAAAAAATCAGCACAAATGATCAATATATTGAAAAAGTCCAAAAATGAGTACAATGTCTAACTCCTTTAGATCTCTCACCTCCATGAAGGGCTGAGGTTGGGGATATCTTCTTTTATCTCTTCCTTTGAGTCCCACTTGATCGTTACAATTTTGTTACATTTACCTTTGATTTTTTGATGTGTAGTTAATTTTTCCATTTACATTGTTGTAATTACTGTGTATATTATTTTCTTGGCTTTACTTCACTTTGCCTCAGTTCATAGAGATCTTTCCATGCCTCTCTGTATTCATCACAAATGTGATTTCTTACAGCACAGTAATAGTCCATTATATTCATATACCACAATTTGTTTAGCCATTCTCCAATTGATGGGTGTCTACTTTGTTTCCAATTTTTAGTTACCACAAAAAGTGCTGCTATAAATTTTTCGTGTATGTGACTGTTTTCTCACTAATGGAGTCTCTGATTCAGAGTATGGACATTTTAGTCACTTTATTTACACAATCCTAAAATGCTTTCCAAAATGGTTGTACCATTTCACAGCTCCACCAACAATGTATTAGTGTGTCTGTCACCCCTCCAACATTGTTGCCATTTTTTTGTCATTTTTGCCAGTTTGCAGGGTATGAGGTGAAATTGTGCATTTCTCTTATTATTAGTGATTCGGAACATTTTTTCATGTGGTTGTGAATACTTTGCAGTTCTTTTGAGAACTGTTTGTTCATATCCTTTGACAATGTAGCTATTGGGGAATGGCTGTTAGTCATACACACATACATATGTGTCATATGTATTCATTGTTTATCTTTGATACTAAGCCCTCATTAGAGAAATTTTGATACAAAGATTTTTTTTTCCACATTTGACCACTTCTCTTCTTGTCCTAGATGCATTAATGTCATCTATGCAGCTTTTTAGTTTCAGATAATCAAAGTTACGTTTTATTTTTTGTGATTGCTTCTGTCTCTTGTTTGGTTAAGAGTACGTCACTTACCTATAACTTTGAGAGGTACATGATCTGTTTCTTTTCCAACTTTTTTATAGTATGATCTTATGTTAAGGTCACGTATTCATTTAAAATGTACTGTGGAGTGTGCCCACAGGGCTTCTTAAGCTTTTTCCACTAGCTTTTTTGAGTTTTGGCAGCATTGGTTGGCATTGCATGGGCTGAGGCATGTGCCCTGCAAAGTGTGCATGCTTTGTGTTCAGTACCAAGGCTGCAGGGAAGTTGTAGGATGCAGCATGTGAAGTGTTTGATTTTGAATTAATTTTTGGTCTTTGTGCATTCAGAAACCTTTTACTGTTGCTAAATTTTTCTTGACCTCATATAGAGTTGAACCCCACAGTTTAAGAAGCACTGGCAGGTATTGGTTTAGCCTAATTTCTGCCAGATTGCTTTCCTGTTTTCCCAGCAGTTTTTAATCAAACGAGGAGTTTTTTCCTAGGTAATTTATGTTTTCTTCCTTATCAAATGTTGGATTATTGCATTCTGTTGCTTCTGAATTCTCCCTTGTCTAGTCTGTTCCATTCTCTTGTTCTCTGTTTTTATTTTTTTTAGGCAATCGGGGTTAACTGACTTGCCCAGGATCACAGAGCTAGTTAAGTGTCAAGTGTTTGGTCTGAGGCCACGTTTGAACTCAGATTGTCCTGACTTCAGGGCGGGTGCTCTATCCACTGCACCACCTAGCTGCTCTCGTTCTCTGTTTTTAAACCAATACCAGATGGTTTTGATGACTCCTGCTTTATAATATAGTTTGAGTTCTAGAAGTGTTCTCCCCCTTCGTCTATTTATACTACTTTTAATCATTTCCCATGATATTCCAGATGTTGTGTTTTTTCCAAATGAACTTTGTTATTATTTTGATGCATAATTTTTTTTCTATCCCCTCAGGTTTATTTCATTTTGTCTTTGTGTTTTGAATGTGTTTCTTTTCTTTATTTATTTGAATGTGTTTCTTGTAAGCAACAAATTGTAGGGCTTTGTTTTCTTATTTAGTGTGTCACTCATTTTTGTGTTATTTTTAAAAATCTTTTCACATTTAAATTTATGAGTTAGGTTTATATTTTCCCCATCAGTCCTTACTATTATTTTTTTTTCAAGTTAGGATTTTTTCCTCCCTCTCTTCTGAACACAGTACTATGTTCCTTCAGTTACTTTACCTTAAGGTTTTTTGTTTATTTTTTTTAGTGAGGCAATTGGAGTTAAGTGACTTGCCCAGAATCACACAGCTAGTGAGTATGTTATGTATCTGAGGCTGGATTTGAACTCAGGTACTCCTGACTTCAGGGCCGGTGCTCTATCCACTTTGCCACCTAGCTGCCCTCCTTTAGGTTTTTTAAAGTGCCTTTGTTCCCACTGGCTCTCTTCTCCTCACCGCTGATCCTCTCCTTTTGTTTCTTACTCTTTTTCCTTGGGGTACCAAGTTTTATTATTATTAAAAGTATAAACCAGGCTATAGCTCAGGAGAAACTGAATTTTCAGTTTTAATTTTATTTATAAAAATCTTACAAAGCAGTAGAAATCTTTTAGCAGGTTAGCTTAGGTACAGTATTTTAATCTGACAGAGACTATGCCCAATGTAAAATTCTGAAAGTCAATAGAGATGGCTCTAATTCTAAGCATCTGCACTCTTTTATATCCTTTGAATAAGAGACTAGATTACAGAGCACAATAATCTTGAAAACTAACTTAAAGAAATAATATAAGAATTAAAAGCCTCTTGTGAGCATGATCCTTTTGCTTTAGTCTCGAAAGCATTTAAGGCATAAATGTGAAGTATTGCATCTACTAACAAATTAGCAATGAGTATCCATTTATAGAGAACACTTATCTAAGGAAAAGTCTAAGAAAACATTGAAGCTTGACTTCTTTTCTACTGATGCTTATTCAGTCAGGGTTCAGTATTTTTAATTAGTAAGTTCGCTAGAAGTTTACAGGAGGCTTCTATTCTACCTTCTCCTTCTGTCCCATCATTTAAAATGTGAAAAAAGGTTATGCCTGCAAGTTATTTAAAACCCTAGGACTAGAAAAGGATACGTGACATTAAAAATCTAGTTCAAGGATTAAGAGGCTGTACTTTATTAAACAAAAAAAGAGTTAGGGAAAGACCATTTTAGATAATTTGCCAGAGTTTATAAAAGAAACAATTGTAGCTGATAGGCTCACTATTTCAATGGTGGCGGTTAGTAGCAGGTTAATGTGATAAGCAGGGGTAAGAACAGAGTTAGGACAGGCTGGATGAAATTTACAATGACAAAACAAATACAGAAATATTTACAGAAGCATAAAAGATTCATAATGAAGAATAGCTACAGAGTGCTTGGCGGCCTGTTAGTCCCCAAGCATGACTAGTCCCCTTCGAGTTCCAAGGACACCATCTTTCTTCTCTTTCCTTTTCTGCTCATGTTTCCTCCGCTGCTGTTTTCTGAAGACAAAGACAAGCACATATTTGAGATTAGGGAGCAACAAGATAATCTTGCAGCAATTAGAATACCACTTTAACATCAGAGTAGTATTAATGCCCAAACAACAAATATGCCAGATAAGAATGAAATTACAGCATTTCATCTAATGAAAGTATAAAACTATGGAGATTTTCTTAATCTGAGCTCCATGGATAGATTTCAGGGGGTCTTTAATGGGAAAAAAAATTTACATCTTCATTTTCACTAACCTCTAACTGAAACTTAGTATTTCCATCAATTATTTATTTATTTGGTGGGCAATGAGGTTAAGTGACTTGCCCAGGGTCACACAGCTAGTGAGTGTTATATGTTTGAGGCTGGATTTGAACTCAGGTTCTCCTGACTCCAGGGCCGGTGCTCTATCCACTGCACCACCTAGCAGCCCCTCCATCAATCTGAGAGAGGGCCAAAGGGGTCCAGGAAGCACAAATGGTTAAAAGCCCCTATCACCCCTATGCTAAACAGTTAAAAAATAGTGCTTCTGTAAAACATTTAATACAAGAAGAGCATTTTAAGTGTTTTTATAGAAAAGTTCAAAACTAAACAATCACAACAGTTATGTAACTGACCTGGTCTGGAGATGTGGCTGTTTGTAAGTTTTTTTGTGGAAGTCAATTCTATTTGTTGTCTCATTCAGAGCAATATTTTCTTTAGATTCCCCCCATGGTTTTAGCCTCCCTACATAAGAGCAAAAAGAAATGAAAAGTTTTAGTGATTGCTTACATTTATATCGCTGCTACCTTTGTTCTTATCAGCTATGGCTCCCTGGGGAATGTCAAAGTTTGTCCTTTAAAAAATATATATGCATGTGTGTGTGTATGTGTGTGTGTACACACACACACATACACACCCATTTACCCACACACTATACTGTCTTCTACTCATTTTGATACCATACTCCTGGAATGAACTTCAAGTATTAAGATGCTCCCTTTTCCTCCCTCCCCGCCAAAACACAGTAGTCTATTTCTGTGTCAGCCTCCTGCACAGGGCCACCTTCATACTGTTATCTATGCCGCTGAATTTTCAATATATTCTGTAGGAGGTTTTTGGAAGTCAGATATGGAAAAAAACTTGGATCAAATTATTTTCATGTAGAAAAAATTACAAACTGCATAATTTTCAAATGATCATTATTTCCACGAAGTACAAAGAAGGCATTTAACACCTCGATTATGGCAACATGAAGATGCTAACAACAACTACCTCTCTGTTGGCAGGCAGACTCCCATTGATATTCTCTATGGTTATTTTAAATGGATTTTTTCTTTCTATCTCCTGCTTTTGTTGGTAATATACAGAAATGCTGATAATTTATGTGGGCTTATTTTGTGTCCTGCAACTTTGCTAAAGTTGTTAATTATTTCAACTAGTTTTATAATTAATTCTCTAGGGTTCTCTAAGTATACAATAACTACCTCTCTCAAGGGGACACTTTTAGATTCTAGGGAGAGTCTACACCCCCAAAACCAAAATCCAACTTACTCTATTTTAACAGATATTTTCTAAAACTATAGATCTGACAGTAGTACCTTTAACTATTTAAATGCTGTGAACAATGGTACTTTTGTAAATTTTACTTTGTAAAATTAGTTGTCAGTTTGACAGGTAAGGAATTTGGATCCATATGGCAGAACACTGTGAATTCTAAATAGGTAAAGTACAAATATACACAGATCTGGAAGATATGGGAGAAAATAGAATGAAAGTTATCTCAAAACCCATAGAAGACCAATTGTTTGATTTAACAAACAGAAGGAATTACAATGAACAAGACAGATGTGTTTGAGTATATTGAAATTTTAAAAATAATACAAAACAAAACCTGAAAACTATATAATTTAAAAAACAGATTATTTATAGTCATATGTAAATAACATGCCCACAAATAAGACACCTAAAATTTGTCAGTGGTAATACTTAAAGACCTTTTGACCTAAATGGTAAAAAAATAGGAATAGAATTTTCAAAAGATAAAATACAATTATTAATAACCACTTGGAAAAAATGCTTGCGTCTAAATCCAAAACAACTTTGAGGTACCACCCTTACACTCACCGAATTGGCAAAAATAATGAAAAGCAATGAAACTCAGTGTTAGCATGGTTATAGCAAAACAAGTATGTTCATTTATTGCTAGAATTTAAAACATTAAATTACTGGGAAGCAATCTAGCATTAACCATAAAAAACAGTCATACCCTTTTGACCCAGTTCCTTTGGTTATGAATATAACTGGACAGTTTGGTTTTTTTTAGAACTGCATGTTCAAAGATTTTCCTAGCAGCATAATATGTAATTGGAAAAAACCAAACAAACCTCATAAGCAAACTAAACATCCAGCAATAGGAGAATGGTTAAATAAAGCATGAAGCAGCAAGGAACAGCAAAGACCTTGGGCTCTAGAATTAAGAGGTTCACAGCCCCTCCCAGAGCCTTAACACCCATGTGACCTTGGCTCAGCCCTCTGTCCCTGGCCTCACTCTCCTAGCAGTAAACGTGAAGGAGTTGGCCTAGATGACCTTTGGGGTCCCATCCATCACTAGTTTTTAATTTTGATAGATGGATGTGTAGTGACATTTCTAAGGATAGTTGTAGTTAGTCAGCCAGTAACCAAACTACCACCATGCTAAACTAGGTGGTAGCTTTCTCTCTCTCTCTCTCTCTTTTTTTTTTGCTTTTTGATGACACAATCTGGGGTTAAGTGACTTGCCCAGAGTCACACGGCTAGTAAGTGTCAAGTGTCTGAGGCTGGATTTGAACTCAGGTCCTCCTGACTCCAAAGCCAGAGCTCTATCCACTGCACCACCTAGCTGCCCCCAATAGCTGTCTCATTTCTTGACAAAGTCTTTGAGTCTTCAGGATGGTAGAACTGCTTAGAGGTGTGTTCTTTGCATGCCCTATGCAAAATATACTATCATGACATACCTTTGTGTGGCTCATAGCGAAGTGGACGGGAAAGACTTGCTTTGAGATCAAATACTGGTTTCTTATTACTGACTGGAGTCTGTGCTGCCTCAGCTGTAAACTTGAATGGGGTAACAACTAAAAACCAAAAGGACAAACAGAAGATTTGTAAATAGTACATAAATCACTCCCAAAGTCTCAGACTTTTCAAAGTAATGGTATCTTGTCTTGAGAAGGCAATGTATTTAAGTAGTCTAAACTTAACAGAGTCAATGAAAGATTATGTGGTAGAAAGAGTAGCTAAATAATTAGCCACTGGGCCTTATTTTTCTGTCATATCTCCCAAAACATATTTTGTCATCTTCTCTGTCCCTTATTTGGTCAAGAATTTTTCCCTATCCATAGTTTTCATGTGTATCTCCTTCTCTGTTTTTGTTTATGATGTGACTTTTTGTGTCTAAGTATCCTTTCAGAGTTTATTTTGGCATTTGGTGTGAGACATTGGTCTATACCCAATTTCTACACAGTTATTTTCCAGTTTTCTCAGCAATGTTTGTTGTGAAATGAGACTTTACTGTAATAGTCGCGGTCTTTGGGTTTATCAAATACTATGTAGCTCTACTTGTTTACTACAGTTTGTCATATACTTAATCAGCTTTTCAATTTTTTAACATCCTGCCAAATGTTTTTCATAATTATTTTATAGTATAGTTAGAACTCTGGTACTGTTAAGCCCCCTTCCTCCCACTTGTTCCCTTTATTTCCCCTTAGGATTCTTCAACTTTTGTTCCTCCAGATGAATTTTCTCCTAGTTCTATAAAGTAACCCTCTGGTGGTTTGGTATGGCACCAAGTAAGGAAACTGATTTAGGTGGCGATTTCTGTCATATTGGCCTCATCTGGTCTTGTCCATGCTTCCAAGGAAGGCCTTCCCTTTAGGCCTCCTAGGTTTGCTGTCTGTGTCCTCATGCCGTGCGCTGACTCTGCACACAGTGGGAGTAAACAAAGTGTTGTTTGCCTGCTGGGCTAAGATAAGGAAAAGGAAGGATGTTTAGGAGGCAGAAGGCTGAATTTACTACTTGTAACACTTGGCACTCTTTTGAAGTTGCCACTGAACCACACATCACGACTGTCCAGGCTCCGGGGGCCTGAGTTGTAATAAAAGCCTCCAGTGAATTAACCCTTCTTTCTTCCACCTGTCTTTCTCTGTGTGGAGACCTTTGCTGCCTTCAGACCACTGCTGCAATGTACTTTGCAGCCAGAAACTACCCCTAAAGAGGACCGTAGTCACTGTCTGCAGAGGTCTGGCTGCAGTTGGTTCAAGCTGAACTCTAGTTTGTACAATCTACTTCTGAAAACAGTTCAAGGCATGGAATTTATTCCATGAGCAGCTGCCAGTGTGGGACCTTCTGGGCTTAGATCTTGCCACGTTCAAGGACAGCCTATTAGGATCAGTGGCAGTATTTTCTTCTAAGATGTGAGTGTTTACGTACAACCTCCATCAGATTGCTTAGCTTCTCAAAGGGGATATGGAGGGAGAGAAAGAATTTGGAACTCAAAATTTTAAAAAAACAAATGTTAAACATTTTTACATGTAATTGGGAAAAAATAAAATATTTTTAAAAATTTAAAAATATTTTAAAAAATGTGAACGTTTAACACAGCCCCAGGTAGGTCCTGCTCAATCTCTGGGCTACACCTCTAGAATCCAGAAAGCAAGGTTGATTCAATGCTTGTGAGCATCTAGTATTTCCCCCAGCAGGTAGAGGTTAATTTTTGTGTGAAATATTTGCTGTTGTGAATGTAACTACTGATTATGCCTGCTGTGAGAAACTTTGGGTAAACAAGGATACATAAAAAATCCAGGAAACTAACTGGCTTAAAGATGAAGATTTGCAACATTTTTTTGTTAAAGAGGAAAGACAAGATAACATGAAGCAAACATTACCTGCAGTGTGTCCAGCCTTGGCTTGACTGGCTTCCTTTTCCTTACTCTTCACCAGGACAGCCTGGCACTTAGGCTGGGTGTCAAGCATGCTGATATATGGAGACTTTCTGGCTGGAGTCTTGGTCAGTGAGCGTTTGTGCTCGTTATCCTTAGTAGCCTCTGAGAACCTTAACAGAATAATACAATGGAATACACTCTTATTGAGAGGCTCATGCACCTTTGATGCTGACGCTCATGTCCTGGACGTCAGTTTCACCAAGCAGTGAGGGAGGGAAGCCTAAAGCAGACTTCCTCAAACTCTACTCCCACTTGTCTGATTTTTCTTCTTTGGGGAGAAGGTAGAAAATGTGTTACTGTTCTGAAAATAGACATTTTAATATAATCTCTTGAATACTGGTAAAAATGGTGGAAGGTTTTAGAGAGGACAATTCAACACAAATTATGATTAGAAATAGAATTTTAGAGTTGAAGTTGTCTAGTTTTTTTATGTAGTATATAACTTTTCTTCCTGATATCCTAGCTTTTTTTTTTTATCTAAGTGACACCATGGATAGTGTGCTAGACCTGGAATCAGAAAGATGTGAGTTCAAATATGGACGTAGACACCAGATGTGTGAGTGCAAGTCACTTAGTCTCTGCCTGCTCAATTTCCTTATCTGTAAAATGGGAATAATAGTTAACACCCCACACCTTCCAAAGCTGTTTTAAATATAAAAGGAGACATTTGTAAAGTGCCTTGCAAACTTTAAAGTGCAATATAAATGCTAATTATAATTATTATTGGCTTCAGATTGGGCTTTAGGGAAAAATAATTTTTATCCATGCATAAGCCAGATGTTTCTGGGACAGTCCAGATCCCTCTGAGGCCAGGTTAGGGCAAGCACCCTTCTGACTCAATTCTACATAGGTCTTTGAGGCTTACAAAAGGCCTTCTTCCCAAGGGCCCTGTGAGGTAGGGAGAGCAAAGATTATTATTCCCATTTTACAAATGAGAAAACCTCATCAGGTTCAGGGAAGCTGAAGGACTTGCCCAAGTTTACAGCGCTGGTAAGTGGCAGAGTAAGAATTTGAACTCAGAATTTCTGAGTTTCTAATGCTAATATAGAATGTGCTGGAGTGGGAAGGAACCATTTAGGCAGTCTAGCTAGCTGCCAGTTCAATCTATTCAAGGAGGTTTTATAAAAATACAGAACAAGAGATGATCTAGGATGATCCCCTCATTTTACAGAAGAGGAAAATGAGGCTGAGAGAAATGAAATAATTTACCCACGGTCCCATGGATATCTACTTAGGAATCCTCAAGGTAAGGGGAGTAACCACTAATTAAATGTCATACTTCCTGGTCAGATACCATTGTTCAAGTCTCAGAATTCTCCAAGGAGGTGGAGGGATCAAAGGTTGCAGGGGGTAGTAAAGCACAGTTTTTTAAAAAGGGGTAGATGTGATGTTACAGCTGCATTTTTAGCTCATAGTTCACTGTATCATAGGTTGAAGAAAATGACCCAAGCCTGGTGATTAGGAGCTTTTGGTTTAAAGGAGGAAAAAGTATGTTGGAAGTTTTGATCAGAGCATCCAGAAGACATTACTGGAGCTAGAATTAAGAGCTGCTGGGAGTCTGCTTGGCATTCACAGCTCTTTTAATATCTCCAAGATTTTTTGGCCAAGTCTGGAAATGTCATAGTTCTGAGCCAAATATAATTCAGTCACATTGTTGAGTGTGTGTCCAAGCAAAAACAAGATCACGGAGATGGTAGTGTTTGAGATTTCAGACTCCCAAACTAGTTTTCTTTCCATTCTACTACAGTAGTCCATTTTCTTATTTTCTCTAGTAATTAATTGCATGTATATGTTTAGGGAAACTGGAAAAGATCAAAAACAAAAAAATCTAAAACACTGTATTCCCTCAAACCTGAGGCTAGTCAATTGGGGTAACTTTAAAAAAAAATCATGGGAGAGGCAGCCAGGATAGAGCACTAGCCCTGGAGTCAGGAGGACCTGAGATCAAATGCAGTCTCAGACCAGACACTTGACACTTACTAGCTGTGTGACCCTGGGCAAGTCACTTAACTCCAATTGACTCACCAAAAATAAAATAAAATAAAATAAAATAAATCACGCAACTGGTACTTTTTTTTTATCTCCCCCTGATATTTCACCACCTTAACAAGTGGGTAACATAATTATGTTGTAGGATTATTAGAACCTTTAGATAGGATTAAAAGAGCTTCTGAAGACTGCCTATTGGTTTATCTCCTTTACCTGACATTCATTTTGTTAGTTGAGAGGGTAGACGGCTTGAACAGTTTCTGACACAAGATACTTCGATTCGCCGTCCCAACGGATATACGAAGTGAACGCCGTGGACTGGCAGGAGTGCAGGTCGAAGAGGGCCTGCCTCTCTGAGGAACTGGGCTGACTACCCTCATGCCAGATGAACTTTTCTGAAAGAAGAAACAAAAAGAATTGCCACGTTTTTAATATAATGGTTTCTAGTGACTGTCAGTCCACTAAAAATCACGTTTTACTGGTAAATTTTGTTCCTTTAGTATGAATGGAGAGTTTCCAAAATAATCTCATTATCATGGCATCCCCACAAAAGGTCGAAGAATTATAACATTTCAGGAACTGCACCAGTGGCCATGTTGTTTTATGGTGACTTGGAACACAAGCACAAGGACAAATGGCCCCCATAGACTCTCTAGTTCCCGGCCAATGTATAGGATAAAGAAGGAGCAGAAGACCCCTGCACAGAATACCCCAAAGGGGAACATCTATGAGATCTCTTAGAAATGCCTGTTGACCTATTTGAGAACCCCTACTAAAGAAGACAGAAACCAAACATAGTTCAAGTTAAAAATTTTCTGAGTATCTGCTACATCTCAGACATTGTGCTAGTTGCTTACTGGCTTAAGACAAGAGGACTAGAACATATTGATACATTGAATCAAGCAATTACTTATAAATTCCTAAATTCTTCAGAAAAATGTCAGAAGGCTTACCTTGGAATTACTGTGGGGAGTTCCAGTTAGGTTAGCTTTTTTAGCTAATATCTGTCAAAAGGGAAAGAAAAATTTGAGTACTGAATTCCATTAGTCTTAACTACATCACAAAGAAATTTAATCTTAGTTGATGGCACAGAGAAGACTGTTGAAATTGGCAATATGTTGTCAAAGGTAGCAGAATTCAGATTAAGATCTAAAAGAGAAACTAGAGAATTGCATTTAAACAGTCTACAATGCCAAGATCTCAAGTAATCCTTTACCATAGACTCAGCAGTATTAGACAATGACATATAATTTCTATATTACAGAATGCATTTTAAGAAAGAAAATAATTCTTATTTCTATTTTTAAAAGTCCAAAGTTTTTTTTTGAACTCTTAGGAGACCACTTTTCTGGTTTTTTTTTTTTGTTGTTGTTTTTTTTTTTTGGTGAGGCAATCGGGGTTAAGTGACTTGCCCAGAGTCACAGCTAGTGAGTGTTGTGTCTGAGGTTGAATTTGAAACTCAGGTCCTCCTGACTCCAGGGTCAGTACTCTATCTACTGCGCCCCGTAGCTGCCCCTAGACCACTTTTCTGTCAGCACCAGTTACATTTAAGTTTGATTTGAACAGCTTTATAACGGCCCTGCTTTCTAAAAGAGTGTCAGGTAGCTGGATGTATTAACAATAGTTTAACTCTTTTGGTAAAACCATCTGAGGTTTTGCCAGGAAGAAAACTGTTCGTGGCTACAGCTCCTGTGCTAATACATGTAATTTACCTTGTCTATAATTTATTCTCCCCTAGGCACGTAAATATTGTGGTGGCAAAAGCCTACCATAAAAGGTAGCGGTGGAAGACCATAAGTAAATTGAATTCATTTCAGTCTAAAGAGCCGTTGTAAAAGCTTCCATATGGACAAAAGCACAAATTCAATAACTCTGACAATACAGATGAAAACACAATCAAAAGAAGTCAAACTTTTAGCAACTGGAAAAACCAACTAGGGTCCCATGGAACAAGACTCTGAAACATATCTCATGGCAGAAGGACTGAGGACTATTAGAATAGAATATCACATTCCTTATAAAATATGGTTATTGCGTTAGATGGTTTTTTGCATAACTTTTTTTTGAGGGAGCATGAAGTCACGCTCAGTTGGAGGCAGGGGTTGAAGTGACTGTGATGTAAAAACAAAAGACATCAATAAGGCTTTTTGAAAATAAAAAGTCTACAATAAAAAGGTAGGAAGACTGTAATGGTAATTCACATTTGATTCCAGAACACATTTTATAGTTTATACATGAAGTTTCCTACAAATGGTTGGACTGAAAAGCTCCAAACCATTCCATCTTTCCACAACACCATCACCCTCTGTCACTGCCATTCAGCTTCTCAGGGATCATGGGAGAAAAAGAAAATTCATCCAGGATGATAACTAGTAATTATAAAGTTTGTTGGATGGTAATTGTCCCAAATGACATACTAGGTAGAAAAAAAGAATTTGATCCTTGACTTCAAAAGCCACAATGTTTTAACATGCTGGTTGGTGGCAGAGAAAGAACACTGTTGGAGGTATCCAAGACTCAACCCTAAATAGAGGGGACACTACATACTGTCTCCATCCTGTTTCTCTGCAGCCAAGTCCCAGCTGCATCGTGGCAAAGCTAAAACAATTAGAGACAAACGTTCACATTACACACATACACAGAGACTTCAAAAGGGGTCAACAACTTTGTGGACTTTTTATTTAAAGGAGTCAGTAAATAACAGTTTATGCCACAGGTATAATTATTTTCAATATTTTGGGGTTTTTTTCCCTTTTTTTTTTTCTGTTCCTACTTGTATATTTTATTACTCATGCTTGTCAGTGGATACTAAAATGAAAGCAAAGAATGTATTTAGTAAGACAGAAAGAAAGAGAGCCAAAGACTTTTGGTGGCTTGAAAGTAGGGAAGAAACGGGCCTCTTGGGTCATGACAAGGGAAGGGATTTAGAAGAAAGGCACAAAACAGGAAACAAAAAGTAGTGGGCTCTTTCCAATAAATCAATAAGTGCTTACTAAGTACCTACTGTGTTCAGGGTACTGTGCCCTGGTGATACAAATACAAAAGGGACACAGTCCCTGCTTTTAAGGAATTTACATTCTAGTGGAAAGTAGAGATGGGAGAATGCGACATATTCACAGAAAGGTAAGTATAGGATATAAATAATAAATACAAAAGTGATTTGGGGTGGAGATCTTCACAACAAGGGAGTAATCGGAAAAGCCTCATGGCAGAGGTAACTTTTAAGCTGAGCTTCAAAGGGAAGGGGGAGGGGTGGTTTCATAAGGTAGAGGTGAGGAAAAAGAACATTTCAGTTCTGGGGGACATATGTAGAAATGGAACACTGACAAAAACACAGAAAGCAAGTTTAGTTAGAGTCCCAGGGAGGAAGTAATATGTACATAGCCTGCAAAGACGGTTCTTGGAGTTGGATGGGAAGGACTTTAAATGCCCAACCAGGGAGTTTGTATTTTATTCTATTGGCAATGAGGAGCTACAAGCTAGCGTCATGGTCAGACCTTGATTTCTCTAATGAAAAAAGTAATAGGAGATTTCCCTAGGAATAAGTACAAGGACTGATCTCATTAAACATTTCTGTCAATCTGTAAGAGTCAGTGCCCTGCAAAAATCTCAGTTTGTAGATGACAAGACTTTTCTGGGAAGTAAAACACCAAGTTGACAGGGACACGCTGAACCTTAGGAAAGCAGCTCGGTCCAGACCATTCCTGGGTGACCTAGAGGTATCAGGGGCCAATGCAATTTGGTAGTAAGGTAGATAAAGGGATTGGGAGGCTCCCCACAAACCTCAGGATACTTCAGTCATGAGTGGGTCAGATGAACAAGTGCAGAATTACTTTGGAGTCAGGGAATTTGTTTTTAAGTAATATAGGCTAGAAATAAGGTAACTTTACAAGAGACTGGATTTGTCTGTCAGTCACTCATAAATGGAAGAAAAATCTTGGACGTTTGGGGGTTTTATATCTCAAGTCACTGAGGTTCACATCACTGAAGACATCTGTACCCTATGTTCCTTGGTGCCACTGACAGAATTCTGGGTAGCTCATGCTTTTTCACAGGCTGGAAAGTCTTGAGTGTAAATTATACAGATATGGTACACAGTGCCTTGAACTTAATGGTAACTGAGTATGTAAATTAAAGCTAACATTAGTAAATCACTAACAATAGCTTTTCCTATAACTTTATTTCATTGTTTAAAAATAAAAGCCCAAATCTGTCAAGGATGCAATTTAGGTGTCATACCTTTAATTCCTTCACTGAGTTGCTAAGGACTTCCATACGTTTCTTTTTTCGGTCAATATATTTGTCAATAGATTCCATTTCCTTAAAATGAGCTTCATGAATCTTCTTAAAATCTACAGTATTACCCCCCCCAAAAAGAAAATTAAGTCATCAAGACCAAACCCATTTATTCACATTTTCTGTTTGCCCCTAATACTAAGCCCTTCTTTTGTTCGTTCTTGGGATCTTTGACTTCTTTGAAGATTCTGCTCAAGTGACATTTTCCACCTGTCACTGCTGCTAGGGCTCTCCCTCTCTTCCTTCTCCAAACGACCCCATATTCATTTCATGTATTCCTCTATAAGTACACATCTTCCCCCTTAGGATATAAGCTCCTTGATGGCAGTCCCTGCCTGTAATGTCAATGGCCTGTAATTTCTATACCCAGCACTTGGCCCAGTGCCTGGTACATAGGAGGCACTTAATAATGCTTGTTGATTATCACAGACATGCAAATTTCAACATGCTCTTTGTGCAAGCTTTCCCAAGCGTGGTAATGTTTTGGTAAGTCTAGGTGGTCTAAGATCAAGGAAGAAAAGCCCCACCTTGTAGATTTTCTATGTGTTACTGTCTATCCTTTACCCTTTTCACTTCTTGCCAAAATATCTTGGTTTGGACAGAAATAAGACAGAAATAATAGCATCTTTATGCATGACAATTTGGCTTTTCAAAATAGGTTTAGAAAGCCTTGTGTTATCTAATTCATTAGTTCTGTGAGCATTTTAGTGCTTACGTACATAGGAGTACACTAGGCAGTATAAATGTCAGAGGGAAGCATTCAAACAGTCCCTCGTGAACTTTCCTGGCATCTGATTCAGGGCTGTGTGTTAACAATTATTTAAACTTACTTGGAGTTGTAAATATTGCTCTCCTTCTCTTAGATTTGGACAAACCATCTCTACGATGAGGGCTCTTTCCTCCTGAAGGGATATTTAAAAGAGTATCACCTAATTCAGAGAGAAAGATTAGTTAAAAGGGCTCAAAGGAGCTTTTTCCCAGATCACACAGCCAGCCTGCATTCAGGCAGGCTCTCGCCCTGATGCTCTCAGTCACAGGGCCTCTGGGTAAGAGGGAGATGCTTATTTTCTTTGTTCCTCTGCTTTAAGCCCACCTCCGAAGTAAAGAAAGCCAGAGAACAGCTGCTCGATCTTATTTAAACTCTGTGGATCTCCTACTGGTGCTTAATATTGCTGAATGTCTTTACTGGTTCTGAATTTGGAGGACCTCCTTGCTAATCAGGGCTCTTTATCTACTTTACATACCTTCCACCTCTTTCTCGTCAGAGCAAAGTGCCCGCTTGTTCTTTTGCTTATCTTTGGATGGCTTTGTGGCCTCTGCAGCAGCTAAGGCATTCTCCTTCTGATATTTTTTCTGTTGGGGAGACCCAGGATGATCACTTTCTATCATCTCTGAATGATCCTGTTACAAAATTCAGGGGTTCCATTAAGCCATAAAAGGGCGACCAAAGTGAGGGAAACAAAAAATTAAGTAGAGAAGCAAGGAAGGACAGAATTTTCACTCAAGTCTATTTGTAAAGAGAACAGGAGAAAGACAGAACAGGGCTGGTCCTTTAGCTGCAAGGTCAACAGTATCATTATAATGTAATGTGCAATTGAGAGATACTTTTTTGGTCCACTGCTGAGGATAACTTGCAGATAGGACTCCTTTGGAGCACCCATAAGGTTGGGGACCTGATCTAGGCAAGGAAAGACTGGGTATATCTAGATAAAAAATATACTAACTTGAGGACAGCAGGTCTTGAGGAAGTGACATCTGAATGAAAGAAAGGATAAGATGAAGGATTTATTTATCAAGCCATTTGAATATATGAGGGAAGACTCCAGAAAACAACAGCTTAACACTCACAAAGATTAACAAGGTCAGGTGGAGAGTGAACCCTGCAGAGTTGAATTGTAAAAAGTTTTAGATTTATGTTTCTATTTCTCCACATCGTCACATGTTATATATCTATGTTACCATGAGAAAAAGCGTCTTCCTTTCTGAAACATAGATTAGCTATAAAAGTCTGAGATAGTTGGGTTTTGTTGTTGTTGGTTTTTGCTTAGGCATTTTGGGTTAAGCGACTTGCCCAGAGTCACACAGCTAGTAAGTGTCAAGTGTCTGAGGCTGGATTTGAACTCAAGTCCTCCTGACCCCAGGGCTGGTGCTCTATCCACTGCGCCACTTGGCTGCCCCAGTCTAAAAGAGTTTTGATGTGTAGGGTATGAGAATGGGGAGAAAAATAAGCCATATGCCACAAAGCCTTGCTTGTGGAGGTCTCTGAATAAACCCCATGTAGGACAGTCCACTTTAGGCACATGCATTATGTGGGCCACTCTTAAAAAGATATCTCTCTACCTCCTAGGCTGCTCTTTTGCTTAAATGAGGGTGACCTGATGAAGCCTACAACAAACAGAAAACTTAACACCACAGATCTACCAACACTGAATTCAGCCGTCATTTCCGCCTTGTCTTACACTCTTCTTAGACAGCTGCACTAGTATTAGGCTCTAAATTAATACCCTCAGAATCCAGCAACACATGTAGTTACCCACACTCCCCCTTCTCATAGTGTGCATCTAGCCTGGGCTTCCACACTCTCACCTTGGAGCCGAGGTTTCCTGGGGCTGCTTTGCCTTTTCCCAGGGGTGAAGTCACAGAGACAAGCACAGCTTCCTGGTCAGATTTGTCTTCACTGCCATTAAGCATTTCTATCTCCTCATGAGAAGAAGCAGAGATATTACTTTTGCCATCCTGTAAAAAAGAAAAACAAATTTATCACATCCTAAGTATAGGAAAATATTCAGTGAAAAACTATTCTCTACATGAAAAACCATATTTCAAATGCAAAACAAAACATACTTTATATGTGTAAAAGCAATATTTGAAAACCCCATTAACTTAAGAGTAGGCCTAGGGGAAGAAAACTAGGGAATTTTTATAGAAAAGCAGATTTATTCTATTCTAATGCCTTATCACAGGGGAAGGTTATCTTAACACAGTTCAAGTTCTCATAAATCCTACTAAACTGGAAGGACTTCAAGAATAGGGCATGCAAATCTAGTGAGGAACTACTGTCAGAGAACGAGCTTATCTAACTTTAGAGCTAAATTCACTAGGGTGGCTATAGGGTGATTTTTTTTGGGGGGGTGGGAGGGGCACGGCAGCAGCACAGCAATTATTAAATGCCATCTACTAAATCATAGAGGGTTTTTCCATCAGTGGGAAGAGTACTCCATACTGTCAAAATAACAGGTCCTTGAAATAAAGCAGATACTACCTCTTCTCGGTACCATGGATGACCAGGGTATTCTAAAGTGCACTGGATCTGGAATACGAGGCTATGATTCTGCTCCTTACTTCCTGAGAGAGATATACTTCTTTTGACCTTGGCTTCCTCATCTCTACAATAAGAAGGGTTGCAACACCGGTGTCCTCTAAGGTTCATTTGGCTTTGAATGTTAAAAGACAATGATCTCAAGGCTGATGTGGAAGCAACAAGATAGAGCAGAAGGCCTCAGCTCAAATCTCTGCACCTTTCTAGGCTTCTGTAAATTAGGGATCATGATACTTTCATTTCTCACTTGACAGGGTTGTTGGGATCATCCAATAAGAGAAAATGTCATTTTGAGCATAAATGCTCCAGATATATAAACAAATATCTTGTCTGGATTCAGTCAAGTAAGATGGATAGAAAGCTGGCCCTGGAGTTGGAAACACTAGGGTTCTGGTCCCATCTTGGCTGTGTGGACCTAGTAGCTCAGTGATGTAGACATCCTTCTGACACTGTGAGTTAGATATCATAGCTCTGGTCCGACTCTCTCCCTCAAATATTGCATTTAATTATTCATTAAAACTGTTATTATTTAATAATAGGGGATAGTTTAAACAGGTATAATTGATACAACAAATAAGATTAAAATATAATTAATATATTACTTTTATTAAATAATTGCTTATACATAACTTAGCAAGAAACTGAATTGTTATTTTCATCGGATTATGGCTCCCAGGTGGATGTTTGTTGCTGTTGCTAAGCTCAATTATTATTATTTTTGTTTTAGGCAATTGGGGTTAAGTAACTTGCCCAGGGTCACACAGCTAGTAAGTGTCAAGTGTTTGGTCTGAGGCCACATTTGAACTCAGGTCCTCCTGACTTCAGGGCCGGTGCGCCATCTAGCTGCCCTTGCTAAGCTCAATTATTGCAACAATCTCCCAACTGGACTCCAGTCTCCTAGTCTCTCATCTTTCCCATTCACCTTCCATACACCTGTTGGAATAATCTTAAAGCCCAAGTCTAACCTGGCCACTCCCCTGCTCAAGAATCTTCAGTGTCTCACTTTTGCATCTGGGATAAATATAAACTTGGTTTGTTCTTTAAAGCCCTTCATAATCTTCCTCCAGCTTACCTTTCTAAACTAACTCCACATTACTCTCCTTCATACTTTTAATACGCCAGCCAAACTTGCCTACCTGGTGCTCCCTGGACTTAGCCTTCTCTCTCCTACCTGTATGAATTTCCAGTGGCCTTTTCCCATTCCTGGAATGGATGACCTCATCACTTCTGCCTCTCAGAGTCCCTAGCTTCCTTACATTTACCTCTTTCTATGAGAGGCCTGTTCACTGAATGGGTGTTGCCTCACTCAAAGTGAGAACCTGAAAAGACCTTAGCTTAAAAGGGCCAAGGTCCTCTACTGCATCCTGCACCATCTCCAGTCGTCCTGATCCATATTCTGGCCACTGGACCCACGTGGCTCTGGAGGAGAAAGTGAGGCTGGTGACTTTGCACAGCCCTCCCTCACTAAAATCAAAGTCAATTGCAAGTCACGTCATCATCTCCCGAATGTCACGGTACTCTTGGAGAACGGAAGGACAAACCACAGCAATTCTCCACCCAAAAAATTATGTATATTCTTAATAGTGTTTATATGTTGCTCCCAACCCCAACCCATCCCAGTAGAAGATAAACTCTCTGAGGGTGAGGGCCAGTTTGGCTTTTTTTCTCCAGCACCTTCCACAGTGTCTTACACATAGCTGGTTCTTAATAAATGCTTATTGGCTTAGAATAACTATGGAGGATTCATCAACAGGAAACCAGACTTTAGAAAGATTAGAGCCAGAGACACAGATCTATCTAGACTATGAAGGGAACGGAGGAAAGCCTGTGGGGAAGAATAATACCGAATTATCAGGTCACATTTATATATAACCATGTCTTTACAACGTCTTAAGTACTTTAAAATTCCCTGCCTTTTTACTCTGTTTCCTCATACATCATTGAGGCATTCAGTGATCCATCTGGTACCATGTAAATTCCTGATTGTTGAGAACTCTGGTCTTTGTACAATGAAACAGAGTTTGGCAGTCAGTAGTTTCATTAGATTTTTAGGTGCTAGATTCCACACTTAGCTGCTGGAAAGCAGCATTACTAATCAAAACAAAAGTCACTTGTTTGGTTAATTATCCATGGAAACTAATTCTATTTCCAACAGCGGTCCCCAAAATATCCATTAGCAGAAGATTGTAAGTCAACTTCAATTATGATGAATACTTACTTACTAAGGTCAGTTTTTTGCTTACTTACAGGCTTATATAACAAGATGTGATTACTTACCTGACTCTCATTTTCTTTCTTGAACTCATGTTGAAAGTATTCTTTCAATGATTTTAAAAGTTTGTCCCCCTACAAAGGGTTAAAGAATTCATAATTACAGTGGAAATCAAATGAAGACGTAGAACCATTGCACTCTTCCCCATGGTTCCCCATTTCTTTGGTCCCAACTTTCACCACCCTGTGCAGACTTCCCAAATGAGAGATATACTAGATGACTATCAGAGAACTGAACTTTACACGACTTGAATACTGACTCAGAGACTCACTTATCAAAATGCAGTGCAGTACAGTAAAAAGAACACAGGTTTTGCAGTCAGGCAGCAAGAACTGGGTTACCAAACTACCTACCTGACCTTGTGCAAGATACTTTAAATATGCTAAGCCTAGTTTTCTCATTTGTAAAATAAAAGGGTTGAACTAACTGATCTTCAAGGTCCCTACCAATTCCACATCCTATGGATCTTTTCTTTTCTTTTTATTTTGGTGAGGCAATCAGGGTTAAGTGACTTGCCCAGGGTCACACAGCTAGTGAGTGTCAAGTGTCTGAGGCCGGATTTGAACTCAGGCCAGAGCTCTATCCAGTGAGCTACCTAACTGCCCCCATGCTATGGATTTTTATATATGACAGAGATACTAGTCTTAACGAGATTGGAAGTTATAAACAGTAACTTCACATTCTCTTCTGCAGTTGAGATTCTGAAAGAACTGATGACTCATCAGACTGGCAAAGTTGACAAAACAGAAAATGACAAATGCTGGAGGAGCCATGGGAAAACAGATATTGTTAACATACTATTCATGGTGCTGTGAATTGGTATAACCATTCTGGAAAGCAATTTAGGACTATGCCTAAAAAGTTACACAATTACTTATCCCATTTGACCTATCGATACCATCGCTATGCTTATACCCCAAAGACATCACTGAGAGAGGAAAAGGACCCAGTATGTACAAAAATATCTGTAGTAGTTCTTCTTGTGGTGGCAAAGAACTGAAAACTAAGGGAATGTTCGTCGATTGTAGAATGGCTGAACAAATTATAGTATGTGTATATAGCATGTATAGTATATTGGGATATTGTTGTGCTATTAAAAAATGATGATGACCATTTCAGATAAATCTGGGAAAACTTATATTAAAAAAGGGAGGAGAACAATTTATACAATAAGAATAACATCGTGAAAAAAATTTGGGACACTTAAGAACTCTGTTTAATCTAACGGCTAATTATAAATGAAAAGGATTCATGACAAAGCATGCTACTCACTGCCTCACAGGGGTGATGGATTTAGGGTGCAAAATGAGACATATTTTTTGGACATGGCCAATGTAAAAATCTGTTTTGCTTGACTGTGCATATTTCTTATAAGAGTTTTTCTCTTCCAATGCAGGAGGGGCAAGGAGAGAAAATTTATTTTATTTAGTTTAGCAGTTTATACTGTTATAGTAATCTGAGGAAATTAAGTGGCCGCTAACATACCATCTAGAAAAAAAATTAGGCAATTAATTTTCTACTCAAGATCTAATGTTCCAAGGAACAAATGGAAAGTTGTCTGAAATGGCTCTACAAACACCTCATTTGTAGCAGTTATTCACTTTGAAATGAACCAAGACAGGGCACTAACCTGTTTATTTCTCAATTGCATGTAAATTTTTTTAACATTTTAAAAAATATTTTTAGTTCCAAATTCTCTCCCACCCTCCCTCTCCTTAAGGCAAGCAATTTGATATAGATGATATATGAAGTCCTGCAAAACATATTTCCATATTAGTCATGTTGCAAAAGAAAACATAGACCATGAATCTCTCCCCCTCCCCCAATAAAAATAAAGTGAAAAAAGTATGCTTTGACCTTCATTCAGACTCCATCAGTTCTTTTTCTGGAAGTTGATAACATTTTTCATCCTAAGCCCCTCAGAATTGTCTTGGATCACTGTATTGCTCAGAATAGCTAAGTCATTCACAGTTGTTCCTTGTACAATATTGTTACCGTGTACAATATTCTCCTAGTTCTGTTCACTTCACTTTACATTAGTTCATATAAGTCTTCCCAGGTTTTTCTGAAACCATTCTGCTTGTCATTTCTTACAGCACAACAGCATTCCATCGCATACCTCATTTTGTTCAGCGATTCTCCAACTGATGGGCATCCCCTCAATGTCTGATTCTTTGCCACCACAAAAAGAGGTGCTATAAATATTTTTTGTACACATATGTTCTTTTCCTTTTTCTTTGATCTCTTTGGGATATAGACCTAGTAATGATATTTCTGGGTCAAAGGGTATGCACAGTTTTATAGTCTTTTGGGCATAGTCCAAACTGCACCAGCTGAGAGACATGGTAATAAAAGGGGACTCTAAACCATCACCAACACCTAGGCTTTCCTACCCTTCAGGCACAACAGGTGGCAGACCTAAGGCCTCCTTTGTGTGTGTGTGTGGAGGTGGTGGCAATTAGGGTTAAATGACTTGCCCAGAGTCATAGTGTTATGTGTCTGAGGCTACATTTGAACTCAGGTTCTCCTGAATCCAGGGTTGGTGCTCTATCCATTGTGCCACCTAGCTGTCCCTAAGGACCCCTTCTAAAGGTCTTTAGTGACTGGATAGGCAGCTAGATGGCTTAGTGGATAGCACACTGGGCCTGGAGTCAGGAATTGCTGAGTTCAAATCCGACCTCAGATACCTACTAGCTATGTAACCCTGGGCAAGTCACTTAATCTCTATTTACCTCAATCCAGTGGAGAAGGAAATGGCAAACCACTGCAGTATCTTTGCCAAGAAAACGCCCGTGGACAGTACTGATGTGCTGTGGACCATAGTCCACAGAGTCATGAAGGGCTGGACACAACCAAATGAGTGACTGAATAATCAGCTTGAGATTTCTATTGTTAATTATGGCACCCAATGAATGAAGGGAGGAGCCAGATGAATTCTTTTTGTATAAAAGGTCACACATCACAGAACAAGCACTATTAGGAAAACCTTATCAAAACAGATATACTATACTGCTTTCAACCCTCCTACAATAATCTTCCCTAGTTACAGCCCCCAGAGTGACTCGTGCAATGCACAACAATGAGCAATGACAACCTGAAGATTATAAAAAACCACTGCCCTATTTTGAAATTTTGCCTAAGGGTTAGACTGCCTTCCCTGATCCCCAGAGTTTTTATTGAACTCTCTCTTGTGAAGTTATTTGTATAGACACATTGGGTCCTTACCCCAAGACAAACATAGGTCTCAAACAGAGCACCTAGCACAGAGGCATGCCCTCAGCACACACTTAATAAATGTTTGTTGAATAGAACTTACTGAAGAATTCTCTCTACTAAGACCACAGACCTACAATTTATAAAACATAAGGGGCTCCTTTTAGAGTTTTCTAACATAGCCAGTGTTATTTCCCCAGCCCACCCCCATTCTGGGAAAAAGAAAAGAATTGGTGTATTTATCACTTGGCAGGTGATAGCAGGGGGCCATGTCCAGTCCTTCTGATTTATGTCTTGCCTCTGGAACCAGATGGCTCTGGAGGGGAAAGTGAGGCTGCTGACCTCAAACAGCCCTCTCTCACTTAAATCCAAAGCATTTGCATGACATGGCATTACCTTCCTGATGCCATAGTCCTCTTTGAGAAGGAAGGACTGTTTGTCCAGGTGATGCAGTAGTGCTGGGCCTGAAGATGGAGTCCAAACCCCACCTCAGACACTTAATAGCTATGAGACCCTGGGCAAGCCATTTAACCACTCAGCCTCAGTTTCCTCTTCTGTCAAATGAGGATAATAATAGCATCTATCTCCGAGGGCTGTTGTGAGGGCAGAATTAGATAATATTTGTAAAGTGCTGACAATAATAGCATCTAATAACAGCCAGCACCTACTTCAGTCTCCACATTAGTAAAATGTTAATTATAATAATAGTACCACCCTCACAGCGTTGTTGTGAGGATCAAAGGAGATGATATAAGTAAAGCACTTTGCAAACTTTAAAGCCCAAAGTGTGTCCCTGCTGTTACCAATACTATCCATCACAGCTTCAAGTACACTTAGAGGGTAATCACCACTAAGTCATCCTTTAACCAAAAAGCCTTCTGGCCCAGCCAATGCCTTTCTCAGCCTCCTTTTTCTGGGCAAAGCTAGAGGACCTAAAGTGCTCTCAAGATTGTAAGGCTGAGAGGCAGCACTGTATGATGGAAGGATATGGTTTCAAATTCTACCTTACTACCTGTATGGCCTTGCACAGTGGCTTCATCTCAGGACTTCTGTCTCCCCCTCCCCCCCAATAAAACAAAGGTATCGGGCTGGGACTAGATAACCCACCTCTAAGGCCCCTCCCAGCTTTAAATCTATGATGCCAGGATAGGATCTCCCTGGCCAAATAGGGAAGGGATGCTTGAGAACCCTATGGAGCAGCAGTAACAACGGTCAAGTCCCATAGCCCCGGCATGCACTTCGAAAAACATTTGTAAAGTACCCACTGTATGCCAGGCTCTGGGGCTACCAAGACCAAAGGGCTCACATACACTAGTAGACAAAACATTCAGACTTCAGGGGAGGGGCCAGCCCCCTCAGAGGATAGATCACTGGAATGGAGAGTGGCAAGAGAGTGTAAATGTTTAACAGCCAGTTCTCCAAAAAAGAGATGTACGCATGCCACACTTTTAAGTTTAATTGGCATTTTTAACAGTTTTATCCAGCACTTCCCTGAGTCTGGACAATCAATAAATCAATACATCAAGCACTGATTTGTAGCGTTTGCCAGATTTCCGGCGGCCATACTGTAGGCGCTAATAAATGTTTATTTGAATGAATGAATATGAAAGTTGTATTGTAAATACAACAAACATTTCACAATCGGTTATTAGCAGCAGGTGGAAGCTGGCTCCAGCACAACCCTGGCTGGAAGGGATCAGTCTTACGGATCACTCGAGTATCACCTGCCTTTGTCCGTCCTCGTACCCACCGACCCTCCTCCCGGAGCCCCGCAGAGGCCCTGCCCCTCATACCCGGAGATTGGCCCGGAGGCCAAAGCTCTTGGCCAAGCTCTGCAGCTCGCAGTACTTGAAGGAGTCCAGCTCCGCAGCCAAAGGGAAGGCCATGCCGCTCTCTCCCATCGGGACGCGTCTCTCCTGCTATCAAGTTCCCCGAAGTCTAACAGACGAGACGGCAACAGTTCAAAACTCCCGCGCCACCCACGGAAACGTTATTTGCTAATTTCTGCCAGACCGTTTAAATTGAGGGATGCCGTCTTCTCATTGGTTGAGCGTGGCTAGGGAGGCGGGGATCCTGAATTCCCCCAATAGCAAGCCGACCTCGATTCCGTCCCCTCCCCCCTCCAGCACGATTGGCTCGGGTTGGTTGGGGTTTGTTTTTTCAGGCCCATGATCCTTCCTGCACGCATTTGGGCTACGGGCCTCCCCACCCAGCTGCTTCCGAGATCCTCAGGCTGGAGAGTCAGGGTCGGTGGGGTTGCTTGAGCCGAGTCTGGCCATGAGGAGGTCTTCGCGTCGGAAGCGGGGTCCGCGCGCCGGGGCCGAGACGGAAGAGGAAGAGGAGGCGGCTGCGGCGGCGCCCCGGAGGTCGGGGAGGAAGACCACCTCAAAGCCGCTCAGTGAAATCTTCCAGGAGTTGGAAGCGCAGGCCGCCAAAGAGAGCCGCCGGCTCAAGGAGCCGTCGGCCGGTGAGGAGGCCTCTTCCGCCTCCGCGGAGTGGGACGCGAAGGCGGCCAAGAGGTCCTGCCCGCCGGGTCCCCGCGGGCTCCGCGGAGGCCAGGCCGCGCCGGAGCCCGAGGCCTCGGGGCCTCTGGAGAACTTCGTCGTGTTCCACTGCCTGGACTGCTTCGCCGTGCTCGGGGACAGTGTGCATCTGTGCGGGGAGGAGACGCGCCTGCTGAGCATTCTCGTCCTCAGCCGTGAGTGCGGCGCGGGGCCCCCTCCCCCCCCTGCGCCGGCGGAGGGAGGAAGGAATGAATGAATGAATGCATGCATGCATGCATGAATGAGTGAGTGAATGAGCGCCGCCTTGTATGAGCTGGGCTCTGCGCTGGGCGGCGCAACTACCGAAGGGAGGCACGACTGGCTCCAGCACAGTGCCTCACACACAGTAGGCGCTTAATAAATGTTTGATGAATTGAAAACGACTACATATAAGGGGAAGAAGCCTTGGCCGGGGAAGGGGGTTTTGGTCTGGGGAGTCACAGGCATAGCGATTTCCTGGGAGATGACTGATTGGGATGTGAACTGCGGGTCTGGGGCCAGCTAGATATAGTGGGTTAATTTTTAAAAACATAAAAAAATTGCATTTATATAGAGCTTTAAGGTTAGCAAAGCAATTTACGTAAGTTATCTCATTTTGCTCCTTTTAACAGCCCTGTGAAATCAGTGCTGATTCAGTTTGTCAACTTAAGCCTCAGAAGCGTTAGGGTCTCTGGAAATCCCAGGTGGAAAATTAATTCACATTGAGGCAGCCCTACACTTGGCACCGTAGAAAGAATGCCGGATTAGTCCAAGGCTCCTGTTTCAGATTCTCTACCTCTGTCACTTTCTACTTATGTGACCTTGGGCAAGTCACTCTTGGGGCTTCAGTTTCTTCATTTGTAAAATGAAGGGTTTGAATTTCTTTCTAGCTGAATCCACAGCTGATTATATGCTGTCTGGCCTTCTACTACCAAGAACTCTCTGGGTTGTGGACCTCTAGTTGTTCAATCATCGCCCATGCTAATAGGTGGGGAATGGAAGAAACAGTAGTCTAGGGAGTTAGGTCCTTTGTTTTCCCCAAACTAGGCAGTCAGTCCACAAGTGTTTATTAAACACCTGTCATGTGTCAGGCACTGTGCTAAGTGGTGGGTAATACAAAGAAAAGGCAAAAATAAATCTAGGATGCTAACAAAATCTGACATTCAGTGTATACACATGTATTTGTATACATGTATACACACATATGAATATATATGTGTGCATATGTATATAAACACACACATACGTAGAGAGAGTCATCTGTGCTGATTTCTAGAATACTTCTCTCTCTTTTCTTTAACCTATCTGACTGCTTCTCACTCTCCTTTCTAGACCCATGTCTGGCCTACCACATGTGAGTATCCTCCAAGGTTCTGTCATATGCCCTGTTCTCTTACCTCTTTATACTCTGTTCTTTGATGGTCACTTTCTGCTTGTTTAATTATCATCTCTACATACATCACTCCTAGATGTCCATATCTACCCCTGCTCCCTGGAGTTATAGTCATGCAAAGCATAGCCACCTGCCTGCTGGACATCACCTAGATGCCACCTGATATCTCAAGCCTAATTTGTTCAAAATGGAATTGATTACATCCCACTCTTCACCAGTCCTTTCTTTGAAATTTCCCCATTTACTTTTGAGATTTGTACTAGGATTGTAAAGTATATTTAACCTAGGATTTGTTCTTGACTCTTTGTCCCCATTTCTCTCTCACTGCTCCCTGCCCCCACATCTGATGAGCCAAGTCATCCTACAACCTCTTTGCCATCTCTCCAGCTCTCTTCTTTCCCACAGCTGACATCCTGGTTCAGGCCTTTTTCCATGCATTCCTCCTATTTCACAAGTTTCCTAGTAGTTTCCTTCTAGACTCTCCTGCTTCAACATGTCCTTCACAGAGCTGCCAAAAGTTTTCCTCGGACACAGGCCTGACTTTCCCCTGCTCAGAAACTTTTATTGGCTTTATATTGTCTCTAGGACAAAATACAAAATCTTCAGCCTTTTCATTTCCTTTTCCACGATCTGGTTCCAGCCTACCTTTCCAAGTATTTCTTTACATTCCAACCAAAGTGAAGATTCCCCAAATATTTCACTTTCCATTTCTGTACCTTCACATAGGACTTTCCTCATGCCTGGAATATAGTCAGCCCTTAGCTTGGTCTGTGCAGAGCCTTTAACTTCTAAGTTCAGTTTAGGGCCCATCTTCTCTGAATCTTTCCTTGATAACCACAATTAGTGTTCTTTCCCTTCTCAAATTATCTTGTGTTTAATTTATCTGTGTGCACATGTTGTATTTCTCCGTTAGAATGCATGCCCCTTGAGAACAAAGACTTTTTTTTGGCTTTTGTATCTCCAGACCTAACATACCTTACTTTACATCTAGTAGGAGCTTTATAATTGTCTGTTGTTTTGTTGAGAAGGGTGAAGAAGGAGTGAATCAGGCTAGAAGATACTAGATGGAGAAATCTAATACTAGCAGAGAGTCAGATACTTTAATAAACACTAAAACTAGTGTTTTTTTTTAAAACACTAATGTGTTTTTCTCCCTAGGGATCACACATAATATTATTTTGGATAAGTCCTTACTGGTTGGCATTGATGGTGCTCTCCTGGGCAGGTAAGTACTAATTGTTTGAAATGTGTCTGTGATTTCTGATTTGATGAAATTATAATGAGAGATATTTAAATGTACTGGAAAAAGAGTTTATTTTCTCCCATTTATTTTTCACATTTTATATGACCTTTCTACTGTTTTATACTCCTTTCTTTTCCACCTCTTCCCCCCTCCTTTTTTTTTTTTTTTTGGTTAGGCATTGGGGTTCAGTGACTTGCCCAGGGTCACACATTTAGTAAGTGTGATGTGTCTGAGGCCGGATTTGAACTCAGGTCCTCCTGAATCCAGGGCCAGTGCTCTATCCACTGCGCCACCTAGCTGCCCCCTCCCTCCTTTTTTTTTAACCTTTGCCTGTGAGGAGCTGTCTGGTAAGGGATACTCTATGCAAATCAGCAACTTATCTGTAACTAGTAGTCAAATTTGTTAATGCTGCAAATGAATTGAATGACAGATTCAGGATTCATCACATTCGACTGATAGGCCAAAATGAATAAGATGAAATGTAATGGAGGTAAATGTGAAGTATTACAGTTGAGAAACAAAAATTAGCCTCAAAGGAGGTATAACTAGACAACATCTTTTTGTTGCCTTAAGAGAAGCCTTGTATCTAGAACAAAGGTGGTCAGACTGCCTTTGAGGGGCTGTGTCCAGTCCTTACATTTTTAGGAAGGATATTAAATAAGCTGGAGTATATCCAGAGGATGGTGAAAAGTACAGAGACTATGCCATTAAAGAACAAAAGACTTAGGGTTTCATGAAGGCAGTCGATAGAGACTTGTAGTCTATTATGTGAAAGGATTAGACTTTTGCTGAGGAAGAAGTAGAAACAGTAGGTAGAAATTGCAGAGAGGCAGATTTAAGTAAGATAAAAGAAACAATTTCTCGACAATTGAAGTTGTCCACACTTGCCTCAGAACCTGGTGATTTTCCCTTTTTTAGAAATTTTCAAGGGGCAGCTAGGTGGCACAGTAGATAGAGCACTGGCCCTGAAGTCAGGAGGACCTGAGTTCAAATTCAGCCTCAGACCAAACACTTGCCACTTACTAGCTGTATGATTCTGGGCAAGTCACTTAACCCCAATTGCCTAAAAAAACAAAACAAAACAAAAAGAAATTTTCAAGTCTAAAGGCTGGACAGCTGACCACTTGTCAGCTATTGGGTGGAGCAGGATTCTAAACTTGAGCAGAGAAACTGATTGATTTTTGTTTTTGTACCTCCAGCACACAGTAAACCTTCAGTAAATGCCTGTCAAATTGTTTCTGAGATCCTCTCCATTTGTGTTAAGCCCATTTGGGCTGGATGTATGAAGGGAACCAGGGTGAAATACTACTTGAAAGGTGAATTAGAGCCAGATTATATTGCATCTTGAATGCAACTGGCTTATATTATTATCAGTGCATTCAAATAAAGTTGATTTTCAGTGTAATTGTCAATGTTCTAATCAAGTTCTGCCACAGAGAGACCATTGGCTGTACCAGGAGACATTTGGTTTTATTTTTTCTCCTTCAGTTAGTAATTGACATGATGATGGCAAGTTTATAGTGTAATATTTGTGATGTTAAGTATTCTATGTATACTACTATGTAATTTCTTATCTTTTCAATGATAATTAAAAAAATTTAAAACACATCTATGATGGATGTTTGCAGCCAGTATGCACAATTTTTTTTTTGAGGGGTGAGACAATTGGGATTAAGTGACTTGTCCAGGGTCACACAGCTAGCAAATGTCAAGCGCACAATTTTTTTTTAACCTATGGATATAGTTATTTTTATGCTGCTTATTCTTAAACCTACTTATTTAGTCATAACCTTTCTCTGGACCTCCAGTCTAGCATCTCTAATAGGCTG